ACCTATTGCTATTTCCATATACTTTAAGAAACATCCACAAATTCCCGACTTCTTGTTCCTCGGAACTACAAAAGATAATAGTATCATCTGCATACTGTAAATAAGAGATTTTTAATCTACCAACACTAAATAAAAAATAAGGCCTCTACTCACCACAGAATTCAACATAGTACTAAACCTTTTCGCCACAATAGTATATAAGTTTGGGGACAAATGATCTCCTTGCCAAATGCCTTTTGATGCCTTAAAATAACACAAGATTTACCATTGAAAAGGATGGAAAATTGAGGCCTCTACTCACCATAGAATTAAACATAGTACTAAAACTTTCAGCCACAATAGTATATAAGTATGGGGACATATGATCTCCTTGTCGAGTGCCTTTTGATGCTTTAAAATAACACAAGAATTTCCATTGCAAAAGGATGGAGAAATAAGTTGACTTCAAAGATCCCTGGATCCACACACTCCAACGTGATCTAAAATGCATCTTTCCTAAGATTTCATATAGAACATGCCAATCCACTTTGTCATATATCTTTTCAAAATCTATTTTACATAGAAGACCTGGTTTTTGCTCTTTCAGCCTTGAGTGTATACATTCTTGTGCCATTAAAATACTGTCCATAATATGTCTATCTTTGAGGAAAGCAAACTGATGACCTTTCACAACCTGATGCAATACTTCTCTCAATCTATTTGCCAAAATCTTTGCAACAATGTTATAGACACTCCCCAGTAGGCTAATAGGCCTTATGTCCTTCACACTCTCTATAATAGGATTTTTGGGAATTAAAGCAATAAAGGTAGAATTTATTGTTGCCGAGATTTTAACTCTATGATAAAATTTATCTATGAGTAAAAACGATCCTCCTTTAGAAGCTCCCAAAAGGTTTGGAAAAAGGCTGAAGGAAAACGTCTGGCCCCGGTGCCATATCCCTCCCCAAGGAGAAGACAAACACTTTTTATCTCATCCATTTCGAAAGGTCTTTCCAGCCATAAAGCCCTTTTTGAAGGCAATCTATCGAAGATGACATTCTCAAGACTAAGATGATTTCTTTTTTCCTTGAAATGGTTAATTAAACTCATTTCAATACTACCTGGCTCAATAAGTTCCACATCTCCCATTTTAATTTTACTAATGGAGTTATCCCTTTTTCTAGCATTAGCAATAGCATGAAAGAATTTAGTGTTTCTATTTCCTTCCTTTAGCCATTTCACTCTAGATCTTTGCCTCCAATATACTTCTTCCAATTTCAGAAGGTCATGCAAGGAAGCAAGAGAATTGTTTTTTTCCCTCATTTTCTCTGGTGGCATTGATCCTCCCATAAATTGGATCTCATCAATCTCTGCAATATTTTTTTTTCTCACTGCAATTTTTTACTGTAGGTTACCCCAAGATTCTTTTTTCCATTTAAAAATTTCATTCTTCAGCATTTTCAATTTAATAAGAAATTGATGACCCACACAACCTTCTATCTTGGTATTTTGCCAAACTTCTTCCACCAACTTAATAAAGCTTCTATTTGATAACCAATTTAGCTCCATTCTAAAAGGTGATGGGCCAAACTTCATACCCATCGAATTCAATTGGATAGGGACATGATCGGAGGCAATTTTCACTAAGGCTTTAACATAAAGATTTGGAAACTTATTAAAAAATGCGTTGGTCACCAAGAACCTATCTAAGTGGGTAAAGGTAGGGTCTGAAAGAACATGCTTTGACCAGGTGTAGGCAACCCCAATTGAAAGAATATCTAAAAGTTCATTATTCTGAATAAAAGAATTAAACATGCGCATACAAGGAGAGATCTTAGGATTAACTGAGGATTCAATAGGCCATCGAATCACATTGAAATCACCTCCAATACACCATGGCACATTAACGAAATTGGTCAAAGCATTCAGTTCATCAAAAAATTGTGCTCTTTCATCGGGACGGTTGGGACCATATACATTTGTTTTACCCCATTTAAAACCATCCACAGAGCCAAAAAAAAAAATGGAGATATGTCTTGCATTTAAAACACTATTATCTTTTTGAACGACATTCGGGTCCCATATGACCCACAAACCACTTGATAAGACATAAGAATCAAAACCCACAAAGGCCATTGGTCTCCTTCCCCAAACTGACTTAGCAGACTGAAAATTCGGGTCCACCAATTTCTTTGATACTGTAGGACCCCATTCCCTCCATCATGGTCGAATTATCTCTGTCTAAACTAATGTTAGAAAGGTCGACTCAGTCCGAGTACTCGGTCCAGGCCTAAGCCTAGTACTCAGGCCGAGAATGAGTAACTCGGCGTGAGTAGTGCCGAGTATTGTAGTAGCAAAAAAGAAAGTTAAAAAATTATAAAAAATATAAAAAAAAAATGTATATTTAAAGTAATGTTAAGCAAAACACTACAAAATGAGGTTAAAAGGTAGTAAAAAACAGATTTTAAAAAATCAATTTGTGACTGGGGGTATTTTTTGAATAATTTAAAAAATATGGCAAAGTGTGAAAATAAGTATATGGCCAAAATACTTTCCAATCTTTTGCCTAAATGATAGAAAACGTAAAAAAAAAATCACAAATAAATTCCTTCTTTTTTGGAATTTTTATGTTTTTTATTTTTTTAATATCCTTGAGTGTGACACCCAACTTGGGGTAACTCAGGTTCACCAAGGTGATGAGCCCATGACTACTCAGCACTCGAATAGAATAGTCAAACACTGGTCTAAACCATGATAGGACAACAAAAACCTCATAGAATTCAAAATGAATATATTCGGGAGAATTTAGGTATGTCACCAATAGGCGATAAGATGAGAAAAAGTAGACTTAGGTGGGCTAGCCATGTGTAACACAAATCTTGTACAACACTTGTTAGGGTGTGTGAGTTAGTTCAAGTGGAAGGATAAAAAAAGCTAAGGGGTAAGCCCAAAAGGATATGGCTGGAAATAATGAGAAAAAAATATGTGGATATATGGTCTCATTAAGGGTTTGGCCTCTTAAAAAAAGCATAGACCAGAATTCGTGTAACTAACTCCAATTAGTTGGGAAAAGGCTTTGATAATGATGATGATGATGGAAAAGTATGTCGTTCACATCATGTGGACAGGTGGAAGCGTGCACAAGTATCATTTAAATCCATTTAAGTTTAGACTCCAAATATAGACAAGTAGAGAAACACACACATTCATTGGATAAGGTTTAAATAAATATCATTCGTGTGTGTGTGTCATATATGTATGTATGTATATATGTATAAGGACTAGCCCCAATTTTATGAGCGGCCCCTCGATTACTATTGTTTATGTTTTGGTGAGCGATCCACCTCGGATTGGCACTTCAAAAGATTACAAAATTAAAGGAAAAATTAAAGTAGAAAGATACAAAATGACGAACCTATGGGTTACATAATTTTGCTTGCCTTGTGTATATGATACAAGGGGGTCATTCTTGCTCCTTGTTCTTTCCCCAAATTCTACAGCCCCTTAGGGTGTGTTTGATAACTGGAAGTTAGAACATCTTAGGAGGTGGAAGATCTGTCTCCATGGAAGTTGGAACCTCCTGGGAGGTGGAACAGGCAAATAGTGTGTTTGATAAGCTGCTGGAATTTTTAAGAATCCTGAGAACCTATGTTTGATAAGTTGTTTGGATTGTTTTGGAAATCCGGGGTACTTTCTGCATTCTCACTATTTGTACTTATTTTTTGCATGATATTTTATTGCTATAAGTTTTGAATCGAATAAGTTTTACTATCCATACTGAAAAATCAAAAGATACATTTAAAAGTCACATTCATACCACATACCATGGAAAGAGTTTAACTTAAAAAAAAAAAGCACAAAACAATTACATATCACCACAAAATGAGTGTCTATGACATCAATCAACAACAAGAAGACACCTAAATGATAAATAATTGGATGACTCTAACGAATGACATAGGCATGCCACATTTGGGATGCAATTGCATCTCGTAATTGCACATCCTCGTCATGATCATTCGCACTCCAAGAGAGTAGTCTTACTTACCCTCAGAAGGCATACAGATTTTACAGCAGCATGACTGATATCCATAGAGCTTTTCTTAATGAACATATTAACATATTCCACTTGTGATCGTGAAATTACTCATTTTGGTATCACTTGGAAATATCATATGAGCAAGAATGAAAATTACTTATCTGTAAACCATTTTTTTTTTAATACCAAAAAGTATAGCATTTCATAAAATCACCTTGTTCAGGCATTTTACTGAACGCTTTCCCAGCATCTTCAGTTGATGTTGGACAAATCACAATCTCACTACTACATAAATACCACATGAAAGGCCATTTAAATCACATTACCTACATATAACACATAAAAAGACCATTTAATAGTCAAGAAACTTTGCCATTTAACCTTTAGTTTCATGGAAAATCTATTCTTAACCAATTCTCTCAGCAGCTTCATTGCCAAATTTGGTCATCAACAAAAATATGCCCACAAATTATTAGACACAGTTGAGTGAAACATTTGGTTTTTGTGGACTTCTACAATAACTGGTTATTCTCAGTTGGATCTCAACGGCTATTATCAACAACACACAAACTTTCAGCTCATTGTTTTTGCATAGTGTACAAGAACATGGAACTCTACCTCTTATAATCTACAGAAAAAAGGATTTTATTTTTTTGGTCGATGTATCCTATACAGAGAGCAAGGAGTGACACTTATGATCATCTCCCAATCAAATGCAATTTTTGTTGGTCTGGCCAAGTATACCGAGACTATTCCATGATGCATATGCTTTTCTTGCGGACGGGTAAGCCTATTCCATGATATATAGGTTATGCCTAACTAGCACAAATGATCCATATTCATGTATAAATGCAATGGATTTGAGAAAGATAACCCAAAGGAGTGACTGGTAAACTTTCTACAATGTAAGAGAAAAATGTAAAGAAAAACATGGTGTGATGGCCAAAAATCCATAGAGAGAGAGGCGAACAAGAGAGATTACCTTGAGAATAGCTCAGAGAGATACATTTCTTGGTGTTGGCGTTGGTGCTGTAGGGCTTCTTTGCGGAGAGAAGTGGCGCGCAAGGGAAAGGAGGATTTATTTGGGATATTAACATTCAGGCTTCCATCATGGGACATGGAAGCTAGTGGAACTTTTGGTTCCCACTTCCTAAAAGTTCCACCAAACAAACACGCCCTAAAGAGGAGTCTTAAGAGTTTAAATCTCAATTCAGTCACATTTGGTGTCAAGAACCCCTTAATTTAAAAAAAAGTATACAATGAGATTATTTATCTTTAGGAGAAGATCGTCACAATTAGTCTTGACCATTGGATGTGAAATTAGATGCTTGTATTTATTATATTGACCAAACTCAAATTTCAAAAAAAAATTTATCGTATTTTGAAATATATCCAACATATCAAATTTCACATCAGATGGTTGTAAATAATTATAACCGCCTTATATTAAAAATAAATGGTCTCATCGTATGCAATCCCTTAATTTCATCCAGAATTCCTTCACTTCGTATTGCTTCCTCAAACTCCAACTCTTAACTTACGAGTTTCATGCATAGGGGTTAAAGTTTGGTCTTCTCTCCCCTCACTCAAGTTCTCTCTCTTAGTTTTTGGCCCTTAGTTGATTGTACTAATCCACTCTATATTAGTTTCACTCTTCTCCCTGTATATCTCTATCTATTCATTAAAAGGCCAAGTATGGGGCATTATGGGTCATATGGGGTTAAGTTAGGGTTAGCACACAGGTTTTTTTTTAAAAAGGGAAAGTTAGTCATCAAAATGACCCAAACTTTTCAGGTTTTAATATGGTTTTGGGGGCTTTATATCCACCATCGTTCAATGGCTTTTCCTTAGTGAACTAACTTGTATTTTTACTTTCGGGGTGTGGTTCCAATAAGGTTGCAATTTTAAACAATCCAATTAAGGCGCATCTTTAAATTTTATTATAGATAAAATTTGAAAAAAGTTTATATAAGGTTGCAACTTTAAAATGTAAGAATTACAGATGCATCTAAAAAATCCATCGAAAAAGGTTTTTTTAATGGTGAAAAAACCTCTAATTGATCATCTCAACACCGAGACGTACTAATATGAAAAAAAAAAAGATTTTGAATCCCAAAAATAGTGCTTCTTGTAATATATTATCTAGACCGTCCATTTTCAAGATTTTCATATGTTTATAGATCTACTTGATTTTAACCATTTTTTAAATTTAAAATTTTATAATTAGATGTGAAAATAGATTTTGAGATAATCTTAAGATTTTTTTTAACAAAATTACATGCTATGATAAAATTTAGAGGTACACCTTAATTGGATTGTTTAAGGTTGCAACCTTATAGAAACCACACCCATAAAATTTTGATATAAAAAATACTTACGTTGACCTAAGAATCTATTTTCATCTCTAATTATAAAGCTTTAAACTTTAAAAATGGTTCAAATCAACTAGATCTATGAACACATGAAAATCTTGAAAATGGACGATCTAGATAATGTGTTGCAAGATACACTATTTCACCGACTCAAAATCTTTTTTTTCTTTTCATATTCATGCATCTTAATGTCAAGATGATTAATTAAAGGGTTTTCCAACTTCCAAACAACCTTTTATTATGGATTTTTGAGGTGCATCTTTAATTCTACATTTTAAAGTTATAAATCATTTCGAGAAGAATTTTTACAAAGGAAGTGAAATTTACCCGAAAATTTGATAGAGTACCTTTTAAAGTACTTCCTAACCATTTGAAGTGTCAGCTAGAAAGAGAGGTAACTATTAAGGAGGTACAAAAGATTGTTTTTGCCTTACCATGTGATAAAACGTCTGGACCAGATGGTTTCCCATTAGTTTTTTTCCATAAATTTTGGAACTTGGTTAAAGGTGAGCTTTTGGAGTTGGACAGATGATTCATGATTACGGGGCATATTTTTAGAGGAGTAAATTCTACTTTTCTGACTTTGATTCCCAAAGAGATGGTGGTATCAAAAATCTCTGATATTAGACCGATCAGCTTGCTCAATAGCCTTTATAAAATAATTGCTAAGGTGTTGGCCGAAAGGCTGAAAGTGGTCATTCCTTTCCTCATTTTCAGTATGCAATCAGCTTTTATTGAGGATCGACAAATTACTGATAGTGTGCTGATACCACAAGGATGCATCCATTCTCGGGTGATGAGTAAAAAGCCTGGAGTAATGTTGAAGTTAGACATAGAGAAGGCTTACGATAGAGTGGAATGGGGGGCATTATTAGAAATTATGAAGGTGATGGGATTTGGAGATGATAGAGGAGTTGGATTTATGATTGCCTTTCCTCCGCTCATTTTTTGGTGCTCTTTAAAGGTAGCCTTGTTGGCTTCTTCAATGCATCAAGAGTACTCCGTCAAGAAGATTCACTTTCTCCTTTCCTATTTATCATATATACTGAATGCTTCAGTTTGATGTTGAGTAAGGTCGAAAGAATAGGTCATTTTTCGGGCTTAAAGATTGCAGATGCAATTATGACTATTTCCCACTTGCAATATTCAGATGATACTGTCATTTTTTGTGATGTTGAGATTCTTCAAGTGAAGAATATTGCTAGGTTTTTGGAATGTTGTGAGGTGACACTGGGTTTAAAAGTTAACTTTCACAAGTCATTAATGATTGACATCAATTGCTCACAGACTGTGGTAGAGAATTTGGTAAATGCGATGGGGTGTAAAGTTGGTGCTTTCCCTGTTATACATTGGAATACCCATATCGGATTCTAGACTTTCTCTTATAGTTTGGGATAAGGTGATTGAAAGAGTCCAACTTAAACTTGATATGTAGAAGCTGAAATATCTTTTTAGGAGTGAGAGTAACGTTATTGCGGTCATATTTGGCCAACCTTCCTGTATAGCAAATGTCGCTGATTAACATACTTGCTTCGGTTGCAAAAAGATTAGAAAAGATGATGAGAGATTTTCTTTTGGAGTTCATATGGTGAGATAATAAAATTTCAGCTTTTAAGATGGGATAGAGTATGCACCCGAAAACGGGAAGGAGGTCTCAGTATTATGAAGATCAGAGCTTTCAACCAAGCCCTTGTATGCAAATGATGGTGGTGTAGCCTTCACTTGAAAGATTATCTTTGGTACCAAGTTTTATGTTCTAAATATGGTATGGATAGATTACAACTGTGGCTTGTGTAACGATACTTCTCATTTATGGAGAGCTAACTTTATTGCAAGTCAATGATATTAGGATATTTTAGATGGAATGTTGGTTGTGGTGCACAAGTTCCTTTTGGCATCAAAAGTTGCTTGGGGATTATCCTTTGAAGGCAGTATTTTCATATTTGTTCAAGCTAGTGACTATGCCCAACTTAAAGGTTAGTGAGGCTGTAGAAAAGAGGGGTCAGAGTTGCTCATGGAACATTCTTTTGGTTTATAGCTGATTGAATAATGTGTTGTTAGCCCAATGGTGCCAACTCATGGAGATGTGGGATAATGTATATTTATCTCAAAATGCAGAGGATGAGAAAAATGCAGAGGATGAGATGATATGGGAAATTGAGAGAGATGGTGTCTTCATTGTCAAATCATGTTATAATCTTTTTTTTCATGATCGGTGGAGGTGGTCTTGCACATACATTGCTCAAATCTGGAAATGACCGATTCCACATAAACTTTAAGTTTTTATTTGGTTGGCGGCGCAGGATAAAATTCTGATTATTGATAACTTGATTAAAAGGTGGAAAATTCTCTCGAATGTCTTCTTGTTGTGCAAGGAGGATGGGTAGAATGGTGCACATCTTTTTATTCATTGCCCATTACACTGAGAATCTAGTACTGGCTTTTTGATGTTGTAGGGATACAGATGGTGCTTCCTCAAAATGTGGCGGGGACTGTTTCAGCATTGAAATTAAATTTTCTTCCTAAGATGGGAAGAGTAGTGTGGAAGATTGCATTAGAGGTGATATTTTGGGAGGTTTGGAAGGAAAAAAATAGAAGGGTCTTTGAAGGGATTGTTATTCTTTTTGATAAAATCATCCATACTATTAAAAGTTCTATATGGTCTTGGTTGTCAGTTAATAAAAAAGGGATGGGGTATATCTAAGGTGGATGTGGTGGCTAACTTGCATAATCGATTTTATCTTGGCTCTGATAGCACTAGGCCAAGATGCCTTTGGTAGCTCCATGTTTAAGAAGTTTAAAGCTTAACTTTGATGGTAGTTCTTTAGGCAACCCAAGACTGGCAGGAATTGGAGGTGTGATGCGTGATTGCTATGGTAATATTTTGTTTACCTACGCTGGTCCAATAGGTTCTGCCACGGCAAATTTTACAGAACTGAGCGCATTGCTTTATGGTTTGAAGGTTTTCATCAGCAGGATTATGGGATGTAGTTGTATGTTTGAAGGGGATTTCTTAAATATAATCAGATGGTGCAATAAGGAACTAAGAGTCTATTGGGAACTTCGGTCCATGTGGTTACAAGTGATGGATTTGGCAGCTACTGTTTCGGTTTCATTTTCTTATATTTATCGAGAAGCCAATAATGTTGTTGATTTGTTAGCAAAGGGTGGGGCGTCAATCTCTTCTTTTATCGTCTCTGACGATGTAATTTCCTTTCCGTAGTTATCAATAAAAGTAGTGATTTCGGTCAAAAAAAAAAAAAAGGTTGCAACCTTATATAAACTTTTTCCTTTGTTATTTTCACCCATTTTTTATGCACAGTGCCAACGTCAGCAAAAATTTAGGCTTTCAACTTTACCCAAAATGGGCAGGGGCTTGTCATCCCCACTGAATTACCCAAAAAAAAAAGAAAAAAAAGTCTAGAAAACGAGGTACATTTGGGAAAGTTGATTTGGAACACCATTGATCGAAATTTCACCAATTTTCACTCCATCTAAACCCTTCAACTAGGGTTTGAGTGGTCCCAATTTCCACTATTGGCCTAGCAGTTCAATGTCACCCGAAGGTCCAAATCCCCTAACGTTTTGGTGGGGAGGTCTGTTTATCCATTTGTTGGAGACCCTTCTAAATTTCATCTCATTCGGAGACCATTGAAGTAGTCTTCATTAGCTTATATCTAACATCGGTTGCCAGTTTGGTCGGTGATTCTGGCTTTTGTGATGGATGACCCAATACTTTTACATAGAAATAAAACATTAAAGCCTCTCCCCACAAATTAG